ACTTCTTCCCCTCGCCATTTTTATTGCTCCACTATGACGTAGTGTCGGCCATCATTCTTTTCTAATTGTTGCAGTTGTCGGTCATCATTCTTTTTTAATTGTTGCAGTTGTCGGCCATCATTCTTTTTCAATTGTTGTCGCATTGTTACTGATGTCGGCCATCATTCTTTTTTAATTGTTGCAGCTGTCGGCCATCATTCTTTTTCAATTGTTGTCGCATTGTTACTGATGTCGGCCATTATGGTTTTTTAATAGATGTATAGTAATCAATGATTAAATAGGTATGCAACACATCGTACACTTCAGCATAATTGCTACGTAATACAACTTTGTCCTGTGCTGACAGCACTCATAGTTTCTTTTATATATATTTACCATATTCATTTCAACTGACCGAAACTTAACGATGCAACAAAACTAAAGTAAAAACCAACACAAATTCTTTCACTGTTGTAGGTTTTGTTAGTATAATATCTAGGTATATACACAGGGCAGGACTAAGGATATTTCTTTAAAAGAAAATAGAAAAATTATACGATAGTTGTTTATTTATATTTTTTGGCAGTATTGTACAACAGCTATTATTTTATCAATTCCACTGTAGATTAAATATTTTCTAATTATTTCTAATACACTCAGTGCAACAAGAAGTACTTTACTAGGACAATGTAAAAACTTTATAAAAAGTACACATATATCGTATTTATATTCATTACTGGAAGTACTTGACCATATTATTAACTTACTATTGGCATTATTAAGGAAATTATTAAACAAAGGCATTTCAGGAAAATTATAGACGGCAATAGAACACAATAATAAATGCAAGTTTTAAGTACAAAAATTAATACACAGCTGGAAGAAACGTCCTAGTAATAACTATATTGTTCTTCTGTAATTAATTAATTAGTGATTAGCTTCAATTGCCTACAAATAACAATAACAACAACTGACTAACAAGAGCGAAATAATAAAAAAGAACTATTTAAAAACTGGACTTTAACTGGCCTTCCAGGTGCTTCAGCAGCTGTTTAATTAAAAGTAAATAATTCCTATAAATGTAACAAAAACCAAAAAAGTTTCCATAAATAAAATAAATACAAAATAAAAAGTGTAAACAAAACGAAAATAATTATATATAATGCAACACAATTCTAATTAAGTAACTTGACTGTTCTGATTTGTATTTTAAAAAATACTGCTAATTACTTACATACTGGAAATTGCTCCTAATTAAAAACAAGAGTAAAGCTATTCTATAGATACTATTCATGTATTAATTAGCTCTCCGGGTTATATTCGTATTTAAATCTAATAATTCATTACAAGTAAAAATGTACTTACTGCACAGTTTTCCGCAAAATACTATTTTTGAATAACTTCTTAAGATACAAAATACTCTCATTTAGAAGTAACGTTTCGTGCTCCACCCTGTATATTTAACAATTTATGTAAAATATAATAGTTGACTAGGTAATAATGACCTACTCTTTGACTTTTATAAATAATACAATTTTCTAAGAAATCAATAGTAACAGAATGGTATCGGTCTTTCTATCCTAAAATTCCTAAAGATCAAACAACGTCCCTAAACATTCCCAAACGTCCTTTCCGTGAAAGTTCCAAATTATTTTAAAAAATCGGGCTACGTGTCAGCTTCTGTACGTTCCAAAATCGAACATCATCAAGAAAAACAACACTCACCTACCCTCGAGACTTTTCATTTCGAGTTCTCCTCGGAAACCCTTCGGACTACTTGCTATTACGTTATTCAGTCCGTTCAAACTGCTCAAAGCGCCCACCTTGTCAGGGGATCCCGCGTGACCGTTAGACCCCTTGAAGGGAGACGATGGAAGCGACATCGAAATACTACCAGCACTCTGGAAAATATCACTCTCGTCGTCTGTAATCACTGGGGACAACTGATTGAGAGTCCTGTAGGAATCAATAAAAAAAATTAAAATCGTATTTTTTATAAAATTTAGAAAATAAAGGTACCTGTCACTGCTTGAAACCATTTTCGCAGAGCTGGAAGAGGAGTCCTCATAAAGACTATTGAGTATGTGGTGTTTTTCGAATTTGTTCTCCTTTTCAACGACGATCTCGGCAGTACAAGGAGGCGAAGGGTCCATAGGACTGGCAGCAGACCTGAATTGACTGGAAAGAGGGGGCCATTTCGTATCCATATTCATATCGCGCTCGATCGCTAAATATTTTCGTTTCGACTTATCCAAATTATGAAATTTAAATCTGAAACAACAAAAACAGTGTCAGGATTTTACTTCTCCCTCAGGTATAAAACGTAGGAGTTCCCTTTTACCTTTATGGTACAGAATCCTACTAGTATTAAAATATCAAACTTACCTAAGTTTCTTGAAAACGATATTGTCAATAATAATGGCCTCGACGAACAAACTGGCAAGAAAATTAACGACGGCGTACAGCACCAGGTACGTCCGAAACTGGAAACTGTCAGGTAACATTAGTTGAAACTGGTCGGCCAAAAATTGAACCGGATATAAGGCCATATAGATTGAGAACGCTGTTAGAAGAAATGCTGACACCACAAAAGCGTAATTGGAAAAGATGCTCTGTCGGTAGGGCTTCCCTTTACTGAATACCACAGCCAATATAATATATTGAAAACTGGAAACTGTAAATATAGTGTAGTTCTCCACACAGGCGACGTCATTCTCGTCCACCCTCGCCGAAGAATTGAATGGCACGTACCAATCTTGCATTTTCAAATGTTCCAGAGACGTTACCTGGAATCCGGTCACCAGCAGAAGCTGCAGGAATAGGGACAGCAAAGGACTCACACTTAAAAGACTGCTCAATGGCGTCTCTTTCACCAACTTCCCCGTATACGACTTCGTTTTGCCGAAGAAAAATGCAAACACAGAAATGATGAAGAGATCGATGTAAAGGAACTCGACGTCGCTCAGATTCGAATCAATACTGTACAAGATCATGACAGAGATAAACTGACACAATGAGTATGAGGCCATATACTTGAAAATGCCGAAATTGGTCACCAGAGCGGCCCGTCCCTCTTTTATTATTTTTAAAACGCAACTAATATCAGCGATCTTGGACGTGAAAGGCGATGCGACAGACGACTCCGCTTCCGATAAGGAAATCCCCGCGTGGGCCGCACGAAGGGCTCCGCAATCGTTAGCACCATCTCCACACATTGCTACAATAAAAAAAATTGTACTTATTAAAGAGCATTTGGCACCAAGAAGTTGCACTTACCGACACAATAACCCATTGTCTGCAACTCTTCGACGAGTTGCTGCTTCTGCTCGGGGGACATTCGTGCAAAAATGGTCCCTCTGGTGATAATACGAGGAACCAACTCTGGATAATAATTCCTTATCGCTGTCCAGACCTTTCCAGTTAGTGCCAATCTATAAAATTAATTAACTAATTGCCTACAAAGCCCATACAATAGATAGAGTACGCTTACCTGTAATCGTTGTAAATTCCTGTGTATGGTTTGCACTTGCCACCGACGACAAAAGTGGAGTCTTCGTCCCTGACGGTTGCAGGGACCTGGGACTCTACGGTGTCGAGACTCGCAATGCTTGCAGAGTTGGATATAAGACTCATGTCAGCACCTCCGCATTTTTTGGGTCTTTTTGTCGAATTACTTAAATAATAATAAATCCTGGGGGGCGTAGAAGACGTGTCGTCACATTCCATTGTAATAACGCTCTGTCCATGGTCTATGATCTCACAGTCCCTACCAACACTTACCGCTGTCAAAATGTTATCACCTTAAATAGGAAAAATTAATAATTGGAGACATTTAAAGGACCTTCTAATATTTTTGTTTCATGTCAAAAAAAGGTAAAAAAAAATTCTTATTATTTTATTTACCTGTGATCATAATGATCCTAATATTGGCCTCGTTTAAGGCCCGAATGCAGGGGGTCGTTTGGGGTTTAAGGCGATTCTCCAAAACAATGAGACCCAAAAAGTCGAGATCAACTTCCAGCGTTTCCCTCTGAACCCTCTGAACTTTGGCATAGGACATTTTGAGCTCTTTGTGAGCCATTGCAATGACCCTACATCCGTCTTGAGTGTAACTTTCCAAAATCGAAGAGAAATCCTCGGGGACAGTTTCTGGCCTTACAAAATTCAGTATCATCTCGGGGGAACCCTTTAATACAATAAAATAAATATTTAAATAGAAAACAAATTAAAAGTTTTACCATACTTACTTTGCAATAATATTCAAAGTGTGGTGCTCCCAATTTTCTCATGATTACCCCCATTCGTTGGGCGCTACTGGAGAAGGGGAATTCTCGGATTATCCCTATTTGCAGGTCGAATTCTTCGGAAGCATCCATGTCGTTCCTCACTTTGATGGGGCAATTTTTCGGAGGCTTCAAGACCGTAGGGAAGAGCATGTTAAATTTCGTACTGTCAGACGTTTCGTGCTCCTCCAGGCTCCATCTAGTACTTTCAAACATCTGGAAAGGAATAAAAAAATAACAACCAAAGAACGTACACCTTGCAGAAGGCATTGCACCTTTACATCCAAAGGGTCGCCAGCAATCTTTTTATCAATCAAAGTCAGAGAATGACAGGAAGCCAAACCAAAAAGAAACGTGTTGTAGGACATACTTTCAATGTTTTCTATGGGAGAACCGAATACCTTGCCGTTCACTGGGACCACGCAAAGCAAATCTAGTCCATCTTCAGTCAATGTTCCAGTCTACACAAAAAGTATATGTATTAATTAATTACAATTATTTAAATTATATAATAAAAACTTACTTTATCAAAGCATACGCAATCTACAGATCCACTAACGTTAATGGTCCTTGGAGAAATGCAGTAAATTTGGTTGTTCTTCAACCGTGTTTGGGCAGAAAGACTTCCAACGGTCATGGCAGCAGGTAAGGCCGGTGGTACGACGATAGTAATCAAGTCCAGGGCTTCTATCAAAATTTCTCTAGGGGCAACGCCTCTCATCACCTTTGTAACAACCGTATATATAAAACCGATACCAGCAATCACAGCCAAAAGCATTACGAAACGGTAGGAGTCCTTTTCGAACCGGAAATCGACCGGAGGTGGGTACAAAATACTCCTGACCAAAGCACCTGACAGATAAAAAGCACATACAGGATTTATACACATCATCAATTAATTCGAATACCTTTAGAAGTTGAATATCCTGTTCGTATTACTACAGCAAGGACTTTCTCGTCTCCAAAATACCTCGTCTGTATCACCTGAGTGCCGCAGAATAGGGTGTGTCTTGAATGCTCTTTAGGGTCGTAAATAATATTCGACAAATTCGGAAAAGGAGTCTTAGTCACTGGAACGGATTCACCTGAAACAACAATTAAGTAAAAATAAATACTGTATTTTATTAAACTATTAACTGTAACATAGCACCATTGCTTCCAGTGGTAGAAATTCATTTTTTTGAACAATTTGTTCAATCACTTTAAAAATTGTTTGAAGAATTAAATTTAAAATAATTGTTTGTAAATAGGTATGCAACACATCGTACACTTCCGCATAAAAAATTGCTGACAGCACTCATAATTTCTTTTATATATAATATTACCTGTCAACATTGATTCGTTTAAGATGCAATTGCNGTCAAATATTTAGCCATGGTTAGCTATTTAGAAATATACAACGAACAAATAAGGTATTGTATTGTTTATTTACATATACAGGGTGTTTCTTGTCTTATTCTAACCTAACCCGTTTGAATCGACATTTTTATACGATATTACGATATTTTTGTCGCATTTTTATGAAACACCCTGTATAATAAGCAACAATATAATTTTCTATTATTATTGTTACTTATAGGGATTTACTTGTGCCAACGACAAGGAATTTACCCGCTCCCACCCTTAAAGAAGTCCCAAACGTGGGGGTGGTAGTCATGGGTAGGTGGTCGATTAATTTCGAAAACGTACCGAGTGTTTTATCGTTTATTGTTTAAGGCATTTCCACTCACCCTGTACATAACGTTAACGAATGCGAAGAACTACTGAGCATCGGGACAAAAAATAGAATCACGGGAGCGACTTTGATGAACCAGAATAGCTCCCGATCGCATAGTATTTTCACAATCAGTATTGAACAGATATCCAACAAAGGGAACTTGGAATCTATTAAAAAGGGTACTTTTGCATGGTTATAAAATATTGAAATATATTTTTTGTGTTTTATGCTGCTAGGTAAGTTGAACTTGGTAGATTTGGCCGGTTCTGAGAGACAGGCGAAAACTGGGGCCACGGGGGACAGATTGAAGGAGGCGACAAAAATAAATCTGTCCCTAAGCGCCCTCGGGAATGTCATATCGGCCTTGGTGGACGGGAAAGCCAAACATATTCCTTACAGGGATTCGAAGTTGACCAGACTTTTACAGGTTCTAAAATAATGATAATTGATACCAATTTGATTGGTTTTATTCTAATTATTATTATTTTTATGACAGGATTCGTTGGGGGGTAATACGAGAACTTTAATGATAGCATGTATCAGCCCTTCGTGCAGGGACTATCACGAAACTCTGTCGACCCTGCGGTACGCAAACAGAGCTAAAAATATCTGTAATAAACCGCGGGTGAACGAGGTATTTAAATAAATATTGTTTTTATAATAATAATATTATTATTGAAAGAAACTGATTACGTTCAGGATCCCAAAGATGCGATGTTGAGACAGTACAAGGAAGAAATTGATCACTTAAAGGGACTTTTAGAAAATCGGAAGTCCTTAGGTGAAAGTCCAAACAGGGAAGTGAACAAAAATATAACTTCTAATCCCGAACTGGACGCCAAAAGAGATCGATTAATCGACGAATACCAGACGGAGATGCAGAAGCTGAAGAATCTGCACGAAAACGAAAAGAGCGAAAAAGAAAAAATCATGAAACAAATCGAAAACATTAAAGATGAATACGAAGAAAATATAAGAAAATTAAACGAAGAAATGTTGGTGAAAAGTATGAGACAGAGGGAAAACGTCTCCGAACAAGAGATACTACGAAGAATAGAAGCTCTGAAGAATCTCATGATCGGGGGTGAAAAAGCTGACGATCAAGAACTGTCGGAAAAAAGAAAAAAGAAGAAGATCGCAGCAGAAAAAAGACTCAAGTACTCGTCGAATAAAACAACTGACTCCACGTCTGACAAATGAAACATATTCTTTTGTTTTTAGTGCCATAGCTCATGTAATGAAGAAATTGGAGATGAACGAAGATAGGGAAATTCTGCAAAACCAATACGAAGATATAAGTCAAGAACTTAACGTTAAAACTGAAGCCTTAAGAAGATGTCGTCATAAAGTAATTAACCACAATAATTAAGTAGATATATATAGGTTTATAATTATGATTTATTTAGATAAAACTACTCGAAAAGGAGGTGTCCGATCTCCAAAGTGAATTTCAAACGGAGAGGGAAGATTATTTAGAAACAATACGAAGACAAGACAGGTCTATCAAATTACTGACTCAAATTGCCGAGAGAATTGCGGGAACATTGAAAGAAACTTGCAATTACAGGTCATTAGATGCCTAACACTTACATTCGTTGAGTAATTTGAAAATACGTGACATTTTTCAGAGATATTGAAACAATCAAAAGACAATCGATTTGGATGGACGACTTACAGAAATACAAATTACCGGATATGATCACGCCCAGAACAAAACTACCCCCAACGGGTTAATAAATTTGTTCTAATTTTTTTACGTTAATAATCGATTTTTTTTACAGCTGTTAGTAAAAGAAACAACAATAACAGACAATTTCTGTCTCCACACAGTAATAATAACTCTGAAAACAGCAGTAGCAATTCTTCTACACCGCATTACGTCGTACAATACCAGGTAGGTGGTACTCAATCGATTTTATTTGAAACGATCGTTTTCAATTGTTTATATGTATTAATAGAATTTCGAAAGTAAAAATGACATCGTCGAGAATTATTTCAAGCCCAAAAGGGCTGCGGAACTTCTGAGCGAATCTTCGCGACTGGACCCCAATCAAGTCATCAACACCTGGAGAGGTAAAAATCAATTAGGTAGATTTCATTCTACTTTGTTTCATGCAGTTTGTTTTTTGTTTTACTTATTTTTATGAACATGAAAGTTCAGTTGTTTTTTTATTTTTTGCTTTTGTTTTTTTTTACAGAGTTCGCAAGGAAGAGGCAAACCAGAGGGGAAATGCCAAGTGCTGAAAGGTCACCGATTGGACACGAAAATGGCTTTTGGGGTAAACTGTCCCCTAACACATCGATTTCAGGTGAAAGTTTGTTCGACAATATATTTTTTAACTCTATGAAATATCTTTACAAAAATTGCAATTGTATACTAGTGCAACCCGTTCAAATTTTAACGGATGGTAGCATTATCGAACATATTTTAACCATGCTCTTCCTCACAGTTCAATCCTTTAATTATAGACGTACCGATAGTCATCAGATAATTCCAAAAATCCGGATTTTGAAAGGAGAAATGTTATTAGAAACGATAATTGTAAGTAGGTGATAAAAATGATAGTTAATGTTTTTATTTGTCACAGGCAGTTACAATAAAAGTGCAGCGTTGCAGACGTCCAAGGGAAGGCCTTTTAGATTAGAGTCCCTTCAGATCCCAGGATCGTCCGCTGATTTCACCTGACATCCGCATACAGTTGTGATATGATCGATTTACTATTGGGTTTGCGAATGTTTAATATATTTTTTGATACTTTTAATAAATGACCGACAGATTCATATTTACACGTAATAATAACAACTGACAATATTGACCAATAATTGACATTATTAATCAATCGTTAGTGAATAATTAATGGATAACGTTGATTAATAAAATATCGTAATAGTTGATTTAATGCCTTAATAACTGAATATAGTGACCAATATGTGTTAACAGTTGACATTACTGAGCAGTAACGAGGTAATAATTTACAATATTAGTTGATTATTTACTTAAAAATTTGATTGAAAATTTTGGTGGAGGCGCCGGGACAATTTAAAATAATAACTATAATTGAATCATAATTCCGATTTAATTGCAGTAGACTGATAAATTTTCATCTTTAAATAGTATTTATTCCATGTAGATGCAGTTAGGGATAATAATTTATATTTTTTACAATTAAACTACAATTTGTGATGTGATCAATAGACAACCCAACATACACCAACTATTACAACATGATACTAAAACCACAAAGAAACCTAGAAAACGACTTTTCTAATGGGAATAACTCTTTTACATCAAACTCAATACTATTCTCGAAGAAACTACGAAATATTACCTAGAAATAATCAAATAATTACTAATATTTTTAAACATACCTAACCTGTAAAATTTGGTCGAAAACTTATACACATTTTTATCTGGAGCTGCTAAACAGTATTCAGTTACTAACTACGAGCATTTATTTAACTTTTGTTGTTAATTATCGTATTAATGTCGAAAATAAGACATTCGTGAAAATTCATAAACGTTATCACTATTTTATTTATTTTTATTAAAAATTTTGGTGGAGGCGCCGGGACAATTTAAAATAATGACTATAATTACGCTATTCTTCTGGTTTCATTGGGGTAGATTGATGAATATTTATCGTTAAATTANTTCTTTCTATGTAGACGCAGTTAGGGATGCTGATTTATATTTTTTTAAAATTAAACTACAATTTGTGATATGATGTATAGACAACCCAACATACACCAACTATTACAACTTAATACTAAAACCACAAAGAAAGCTTGAAAACGACTTTTCTAATGGAAATAACTCTTTGACGAGAAATTTAATACTATTTTCAAACAAACTACGAAATATTAGGTAGAAATAATTAATTAATTAGTAAAGTTTTTAAAGACATCTTGCAATATTTGGTTGAAACTGTCACATTTTTTTTAACATTTAATTACTAAACCCACGAAGCTTTATTTCAGATTAGTAGTTGAATATTGTGACTAATTTGTTAACAGTTGACTTTGCTAAACATTAATGAGCTGATAATTGACAAATTGACTAATTAAACGTTGTTTAAACAAACCATTCCCAAATTAAACTCCTTTGTCGATAGGAAAGTAAATATTTGGTTACTTCTACATCATAAGCCTTTTGAAGAAATCAAAGAACAATAATTTACATAAAATTATATTAAATAATTAACAAATACTAATCAACAAAAATTGTAACTTAAAATCTTCAGGCAAGTCCTTCTTGAAATGTGAGTGTTTTATCTGACTGAAGTTGATTTTGCATCTCTTTGGCTATGTTCTTGTATTTCTCAGCTAATTCCTGGTTTTTATCTACACCTAAAATCAATTATACATATAATTAGCAATTGAATTAAAGCACATATGAAAGGAATTATGTATAAAATACATAAATTAATAAATACTTAGTCAAAAAGGTAAAAGTATCGCAATTGTTAAATAATAATCTACTAGTGACTATTAAAACTCAACAAAAGCAACTGTCCCATAAAATGTTAATTAAACATAGTACATACCATCACCTTTCTTATACATTTGGCTCAGGTTTACACAGCAATATACATTTCCCAATTCACAACCTTTCTGGGCTAACTTAAATGCCTCTTGCATGTTTTTGGGGACATCATAGTCTTCTTGTTTGATTTCCTTCTCAGGAGATGCTTTAACACTGGGTTTCTTAACTCCTGATATATACATGCCTGATAAAAAGTAACAAGCATTTGCATTATTATCCTGACAAGACTTCTCTAACAGAGAAAATGCCTGGAAACAGGGCACATTATGTAGAAGCTATATAAGATATCAATTTATGAAAAATACCTTAGAAACATCCCGTTGAATGCCAGAATTTTCATCATTCGAAATTAATAACAGGCCTTGACTTAAACAAGCACTTGGGTTGCCCAATTCGCATGCCTTTTTTAAGTACTGATAAGCTACAGCAGCATCTTGCTTTTGCCCCCCTTTTCCCAATAATCTATATACTCCATACTTGTAGCAACTTTTTCCATAGTCAAATTCGTCGCAATTATTCTTGTAAATTACGTTTGATTTTTCATATTCCTTTTTTACAGCTTCCAAATAGTCTCCCAGTAAATGGCAAACTTAAATGACATAACCTATAATTTTACGATTACATGAAATTATATTTACCTTCAGGATTTTTTTCGCTGTAGCATCCGAACCTATATTCTATTCCTAAATTATTGAGGTATTCCTTCACGTCTTCTTCAGATTGAAAATTATAAGCCATTATTTTGATTAAACATTAAATTAAAGGCAATTTTTAAACTTAACTGACATAGAAAAAATAGTTCGAGATACACTAAGCAGGAGCGTTTGAGCTACTGTGAATTCTGCAAAGTTTTAGACAGGGTGGAACTAATGATATTATTACATTAAATAAAAATTAATAAAACTACTTCTTCCCCTTACCATTTTTATTGCTCCACTATGACGTAGTGTCGGCCATCATTCTTTTCTAATTGTTGCAGTTGTCGGTCATCATTCTTTTTTAATTGTTGCAGTTGTCGGCCATCATTCTTTTTCAATTGTTGTCGCATTGTTACTGATGTCGGCCATCATTCTTTTTTAATTGTTGCAGCTGTCGGCCATCATTCTTTTTCAATTGTTGTCGCATTGTTACTGATGTCGGCCATTATGGTTTTTTAATAGATGTATAGTAATCAATGATTAAATAGGTATGCAACACATCGTACACTTCAGCATAATTGCTACGTAATACAACTTTGTCCTGTGCTGACAGCACTCATAGTTTCTTTTATATATATTTACCATATTCATTTCAACTGACCGAAACTTAACGATGCAACAAAACTAAAGTAAAAACCAACACAAATTCTTTCACTGTTGTAGGTTTTGTTAGTATAATATCTAGGTATATACACAGGGCAGGACTAAGGATATTTCTTTAAAAGAAAATAGAAAAATTATACGATAGTTGTTTATTTATATTTTTTGGCAGTATTGTACAACAGCTATTATTTTATCAATTCCACTGTAGATTAAATATTTTCTAATTATTTCTAATACACTCAGTGCAACAAGAAGTACTTTACTAGGACAATGTAAAAACTTTATAAAAAGTACACATATATCGTATTTATATTCATTACTGGAAGTACTTGACCATATTATTAACTTACTATTGGCATTATTAAGGAAATTATTAAACAAAGGCATTTCAGGAAAATTATAGACGGCAATAGAACACAATAATAAATGCAAGTTTTAAGTACAAAAATTAATACACAGCTGGAAGAAACGTCCTAGTAATAACTATATTGTTCTTCTGTAATTAATTAATTAGTGATTAGCTTCAATTGCCTACAAATAACAATAACAACAACTGACTAACAAGAGCGAAATAATAAAAAAGAACTATTTAAAAACTGGACTTTAACTGGCCTTCCAGGTGCTTCAGCAGCTGTTTAATTAAAAGTAAATAATTCCTATAAATGTAACAAAAACCAAAAAAGTTTCCATAAATAAAATAAATACAAAATAAAAAGTGTAAACAAAACGAAAATAATTATATATAATGCAACACAATTCTAATTAAGTAACTTGACTGTTCTGATTTGTATTTTAAAAAATACTGCTAATTACTTACATACTGGAAATTGCTCCTAATTAAAAACAAGAGTAAAGCTATTCTATAGATACTATTCATGTATTAATTAGCTCTCCGGGTTATATTCGTATTTAAATCTAATAATTCATTACAAGTAAAAATGTACTTACTGCACAGTTTTCCGCAAAATACTATTTTTGAATAACTTCTTAAGATACAAAATACTCTCATTTAGAAGTAACGTTTCGTGCTCCACCCTGTATATTTAACAATTTATGTAAAATATAATAGTTGACTAGGTAATAATGACCTACTCTTTGACTTTTATAAATAATACAATTTTCTAAGAAATCAATAGTAACAGAATGGTATCGGTCTTTCTATCCTAAAATTCCTAAAGATCAAACAACGTCCCTAAACATTCCCAAACGTCCTTTCCGTGAAAGTTCCAAA